TCGCCCGGGCGGCGCCCCAGGGGGGAAGGGGGGGGGGGGGGGGGTAGCTAGCGGCACACTGATGAATGAGGGGCAGGTTGAAAGGGGAAGGGGCAAGCCGGGAAGAATGGGGCCTGTGAATTTGGGGGTGGGCTTGTCCTCGAAAGAAGCTGGCACCAAAACCAGGTCAGGGTCCAATTTTTATTTATTTATTTATTTAAAAAGTGGCTTTACAACTCTGGTGAAAGCCCAGGAAGTGGTGGGAGAGGAGACCCTCCGGAGAAGGGGAGTGTCAAAGGAACCCCGAGGGGGTGTTTGCTTTGCCTGCTGCAAGGTGGGGGGGGCTTACTTGTGAATGTGGGGTGGGGGGGTGTCTGTGAAAAGAAGGCCTCCTCCCTGGCCACAGACAACTGCCCAAGCATGTCTGTTTGCCTCTGGGATCCAGGAAAGCAGATGGAGCCTAGCCCAGGGGGGTAGAGAAGCCTCGTCTGCCAGCACAATGCCGCCTTCCCGCTTCCCGCTCGCTCGCCGGACGGCTGCTGGCGTGGGCAGCTTGGCCGGCACCATGCACTTCCGAGAGCCTCATACATCATCCGTGCCCCCCCGCCGAGCTGCTATTGACCAGCCTCCTTGGCACGGGGAGCTCGGCTGTGTCGCTGGCCACCTCTGACACGTGCACGTAGGTTTGCCCAGGGCCACAATGCCAGGCCTGGGGACTTCCAGGGGAAAGATGGCCAGATTTCTCAGAGGGCAAGCAGCAGGAGGGGAGAGGGAGAGAGCTCTCCCATGCACAGGCATGGAAATGGATGGGAAGCGGCGCATGAGCCGCTGCCCCCTCCCACTGGCTTCTTTGGCTCGCAGAAATGTTCTTGACGGCGCGCCAGACGGAACAGCTTTGCAAAGATTTTCGCTCTGCTCTGTTGTCGCTCTGCAGTTTTACAAAGCAGAGGTTTATGTGATACTCTGAAACTGGGGCATCATATTTAGACAATGAAAGAGAGGGAGGGAGGAAGGAAGGAAGGAAAGATGGCAGTCACGTGTTAAAATAGTTGTCATCTTCCTTTTGGGCTCCTAAAGCGGTTTGCAAAAGCCATAAAAGGAACCAAGCATAGATAAAATATGACACAGTCTGCTGTGTAGTGGTTAGGAGTGCGGACTCTAATCTGGGAGAACCGGGTTTGATTCCCCACTCTGCCTCCACATCCAGCTGCTGGGGTGACCTTGGGTCAGTCACAAGTCCTCTTAGAGCTGTTCTCTCATTAGCAGTCCTTGAAAGAGCTCTCTCAGCCCCGCCTACCTCACAGGGTAGGGAAGGGAAAGGAGACTGTAAGCCGCTCTGAGACTCCGAGTAAAGGGCGGGGTATAAATCCAATCTCCTCCTCCTCCTCCTTCTCCTCTTCTTCTTCTTTGTCACATGTTCAGCCCACCTGTCCTGGAAGAGTCCAGCATGGTGCAGTTGTAAGGTGTCAGACTAGGCTCTCAGAGACCCAGATTCAAATCGTCTCTCTGCCAAGAAGCTCACCTCGTGGCTCATGGAGAAGGGGCAGAATAAAAAGGCCATCAGATAGTCTGAAAGAGCTCAAAGTGGCTTACAAGATTCTCCAGGAAGACAGTTGTAGAGGGTAGCTTTCTGGAGTGGAAAGAGACAGAGATGAGTCTAGTAGGGCCTCAGAGACAGCAAGAGTTTCCAGGCGTACACGTTCCAGAGGAAAAGCAATGACCAAGCGAGGTTTGACGCTCAAGAGTTTGTACCCCAAAAATCTTGCTGTTCTCCAAGGAGCCAAGGGTGTAGACTTTCCAATTTCCCGGGGGGGGCTGGGGCTCGACCAGAGGCATTGCTTTGCTAGGAGCAAGGGTGGCTCCCGGGGGAGGCTGAGTACCTTCCTGAAAATTTCGGCGGGGGCTCACGCCCCGCCGCCCCCACGAAGATTACGCCTATGCAAGCGACTGGACTCAGATCTAAGATTCTCTGTGGTATCCTCACAACAGCCCTGTGAGGTATGTTAGTGAATGGCCCAAAGAAGGTCATGGCAGAGAAAGGATTCGAACACAGGTCTTCCTTGGCCTACTCTGGCTGCGGTCACACGGAGCATTAGCCACACTACAGAGACGAAAGATAGGCGGATTTTCCGGGCGCGATCAAACCGCAACATCTGGGAAGCGTAGAGCTCCCGTGGCGAACCTCCGAGGTACTAGTTTCCGGAAACCGCGGGGCAAGGGCGGGCATCTGATCACATTTCCAGTGGTAGCTCGTGGCATCCAGCACCTGCCCATGTCCCGTCGCGAAAAGTTTTTTTTCCAAGTCTCCACGGGATGCGCACAAGCACCCAACGGCGCATGCGCACACTACGGTTAAAAAACAAAAACCCGCCGCGCCGCTTCTTTGCCGTGCCGCAGGATTGACGTATGATCGGCACCTCCCCCCGAACCACAGGACATCAGCTGGACGTTTGATCCGGCGGCCGCATGGTAGTTCATTCCGGGGCAAACAGCCACGCCTTCTCCCCGCGATATCTGGCCCATGTGACCGGGGCCTCAGATAGGCTAACCACTGCACCACCCTAGATCTTTAACGCTAGCCACCATACACAAAAGATACACAATTGGCCAGTAAGAGTAAAAAAAGAAAAGAATATATCCTTGCAAGGGAGGGGCTTTGGTAGAGGAACAGGGAGAAATCCGGTTCTTAAGAGAGACAAATTGTTTCTTTGTTCAACAACGTCCCTCTGTTTCGGTGTGCTTGGAAACAGCTGAGAATTTGATTTCCACTGTGTGGTGTTATTTTCTATTTCTGCGCGTCGCTTTAAAAGAGGAAGAAGTCTTGGAACATTGGATGTTGGCTTTCAGCTTTAACTCCTCAGTTGACATGGAGATGCTAGATTTGGGGTGGGCGAGTTCCCGGGTTCCCCATGTCTAGTGAGACCGCTTCTGTTTTCACAAGGTGGATTTTCTCAGATTCCCCAGAGAACAGGCTTGTGAAGAACTTGCCTGATCGCCTAGGGCGTATGAGGAGCACATCCAGGTGACCAGGCAGGAAAGCAATTTATACATTGGAAATATGTGTTTGGTTCTTTTTTAAAAAAATTCAGGCTGCCAAATGGGCCACAAATAAATAGCAAAGGTATAGAGGAGCAGGGGGTCTAGAAAATGCTGCCGTGGACTAGCTGGGTGTCCTGAATTAGCACCCCTTGTTCGGTCCCACCCCCAGCCCCCCAATTCCAATTCCTCCTTCATTGCAAGGTTTTCATCAAAGGCCAACCTGCTGTGAGATGCAGATTGGAGACAGGGCCCAGAACGCCAGGCAGACCTGGCACCAATGACGCCCACAACAGCTGGCGTGGGGCTCCACACTGGCGGGGCAGCTGGAGCCGATCAGAGAGTTGCAGGTTGATTAATGACCATCATTTGCACATGAAACCTCAGCCTCCTCTCTCACTCCGGTGGGCTTTGCGCAGGACTTCTGGATGCTGAAACTAAAGGATGGGATGGAAGGGGAGGGGGTGTTCGTGTTCTCCATGCTCTCAGGGCAATGGGGGCCTGCCAAGATTGGCTCGGATGCTGATGTATGTTTAAACTATTTGCCTGTCTCCTGGAGGCTAACTGGTGGGCAACGAAAAATGGACCGTCTGTGCCCTTTACTGTTGCTAAAAGACTGGAGAGAGAAAAATGCCCACCTGCCATAACCCCGTGGATTGTGGCCCTTACAACCTTACCAGCTGTCTGAGGAAGTGTGTATGCACACAAAAGCTCACATCTTGAATAAAACCTTGTCGGTCTTAAAGGTGCCACTGGACGCCAACGTTGTTCTAACCTTACCAGCAGTTGAATGTATGGACAACAATGGCATATGGACTTATTTTTAAAAAATATTTGGAAACCTTTTATAAGATGCCTATGTCTAGACCATTATCGTTATAGTTTCTATTTCTTTTCTGTTTGGAGGCCCACTTAAGAGGGAAAAAAATGTAATTAAAAAAGAGAGAGATTGGCTTGGACTCGTGTCGCCGGCAATTTTACATATTTGCCACTAGCCAGTTTCTTGCTTACTGCGGTTTTACTTACTTTACTGTAGTTTGCCCCCATCGTACCCCTATGATTAAATTGTTAATAACAAGAATACACCGCCAGTATCCTGGTGCTTCCTAGGGTTGCCAACCTCCAGGTGGGGCTGGAGATCTCTCGGAACAACAAGTAATCTCCACACTACAGAGATCAGGTCCCCAGGAGGAAATGGCTGCTTTGGAGGGTGGACTCTATTGTATGCCATGGAGCAGGGGCGTCAAATATGCAGCCCGGGGGCCGGATTAGGCCCCCGTAGGGCTTCTATCAGGCCCGCAGTGGAACTGGCTGCCTTCTGCTTCTTCTTCCAGTTCTGCTGCTGCTGCGTCGTCGTAGGTTTGCGGCTTACAGATACACACTTGAACAGCATGCTCAAGACTGCAACAGCACAGACATTTTGATGCAATACTTCAGAGCAGGAGGTGTCAGTTATCAGACACTGTTAAATAAACAAAATATTGCAAGAGTGCTAATATTTTAAGCACGTTTTTAAGTTTAAAAAAAACCCTTTGTGTTTGTGTCCTTTATAAAGGCTTATATCTCTGTTACCTGGCGTTACATTTTATGACACACATGGCCCAACAAGGTCTCGTTTACGTCAGATCTGGCCTTCACAACAAATGAGTTCGACACCCCTGCCATAGAGTCTAGGAGAAATGGAAGTCCTAGAGTGGCATCACATCCCTGCTGAGCTCCCCTCCCTCCCTCCCAAACTCCATCCTCTCCAGGCTCCACCCCCAAATCTCCAGGAATCTCCCAGCCGATAATTGGCAACACTAGCATTTCGCAAGTGGAAATTGCTGCTGTTCACCGACTTGGATGCCTCTCTTGCAGGTGAGGTCCGGTTTTCAGGACGATGGCCCCTCCCCCTGCCTTTTCCGCCCCCATCTTTGTCTTCTGCCTGCTGACTCTCAGCCCCACGGACTCCCTCGAGCCGGCCCCGGGGCTCAGCAACAGCTTCCAGAGCCAGGATCCGTGGGCCTCCCAGCCGCGAGCCGTGACCCACCACCGTAGACACAGCCTCCTGAGGCGGGAGTGGGCCCACCGTGGGATGCCAGCCCGAGCCAGGGTCTCCGGAGAGGCCGGCCTGCGGCACCTGGGCAGATCTGGGTCGATGGACCAGCCGGCCGGCCTCCGGCAGAAGGACATCTTCTTGGGCTTCGCCTTCCCGTATCCTGAGCAGCAGGAGAACCACGCTCCCGGATCAGAAAGGGGGAAGAAGCAGAACCGCGAGCTCCGACGACACAGCCGCAGGGACCGACTGAGGCAGCACCGAGGTACCGGGAACCAGTGCGGGGTGGTGTGGGGTGGGGAACGGCACAGGCGGCCTGCAGCTTGCTGTCAAACTCTGTCTCTAGTTTGCCGTGACTGTAGGGGGGAGGGAAATTCCTGGGGGTGTGTGAATGGCTGAGGGTGCCAACTGCTCTATCATAGGCAGCACAACTCTTCCCAAGATACCTCCCTTGTCCGGGGACGACCTTGAAGCCAAACTGTGCCAGCTTGCCATTATAGATAAAGGAACCGTATATTCACAGGTGTGTGTGTTGGGGGGTATTGAGCGTGAAAGCTAGGCGGGATGGTTGCAAAGAGTGATTGGATGTCATAGAAGGGGAGGGGCTATTTGAACTGTCTATCCCAGGGGTGGCCAAACTGTGGCTCTTTCACACATATTGTGCGGCTCCCGGCAGGGCGGCTGGGGAAGCGAAAGGGAGATTTGCCTCCCCAATTGGTCTTCCCCTCCCCAGCTAGTGTTCCCCTCCCTGGGTAGGCTTGATGTGGGGGGCAGCAGAGAGAGAAAGAAACTTAAAATTTAAATTTGATCTCAAAGCAGCCCCCCGCTGGCCGGCTTGGAGAAGGCATTTGTCTCTTTAAATCCCTTCTCCAAGCCAAGCCAGCAGGTGTGGGTTATTATTGGTATTATTATTGGTATTATTATTGGTATTATTATTATTATTATTTAAAGTTAACGTTGTTTTCTTCCCCCCTCCCCCATCTATTTGATTTCTTTCCACTTTCTTTCTTTCCACCTTTCTCTCTCTCTCTTTCTCCCCTCCCTCCTCATCTAAAGTGAAATGTGTTCTCCAAGCCCCGCCACACCTGCAGACTGGCTTGGCTCGGAGAAGGCATTTGTCTCTTTAATTTAATATGTGGGTTCATGTCTTGTGGCTCTCAAACATCTGATGCTTATTCTATGTGGCTCTTACGTCAAGCGAGTTTGGCCACCCCTGGTCTGCATCTTTGGATTCTCCCACCAGAACCTCGGTTCTGACACGGTACTGATCTAGCCTGGAACATGATTGTTTCTCAATAAACAAATCACCGCCAAAGAGAGAGTAGCTTCGTCCAGGAGTCTGACACTTGCTTAGCTGTTTGTGGCAGAATTGCCAACTCTGAGTTGGGGAATTTCTGGAGCCTGGGGAGGAAAACGTTTGGGGAGAGGAGAGACCTTAGTGAGGTATAATGTCATAGCATCCCCTTTCCAAAGTAGCTCTCTTCTCCAGGGGAACTGACCTCTGTCATCTGGAGATCTGTTACAATTCTGGGAGACCTCCAGACCCCACCTGGAGGTTGGTAAGCCTAGTGGCCGAGTCACCCAAATCTCAGCTCCAGAGATAGCTTGAACTGGGGGGCACCCAAGGAAGTTGGCAGATTGTAAATTCAGGACAGCCAAACGAAAGCAGTTCTTCAAACAGCACATAGTTAACTTGTGGGACTCCCTGCCACTGGATGTGGTGACAGTCGCTCACTTAGCTGGCTTTAAAAGAGAATTAGATGAATTCGTAGAGGAAGGAAGAGACGTTCCGACTGTTGTTGTTAACCAGGATAGCTAAATGGAACCTCCTTGTTTAGGGGCAGTGTATCTCTGAACATTCATTACCGGGGGAGGCTTTGTGCCTCACTTGTGGTCTTCTGGGTGCATCTGCACGAAGTAGGATGCTGGACTAGACGGACTGTGGGTGTGATCCAGCTAGAGGTCTGTTCTTCTGTCTTGCAGGCAAAGGCCCTGATCCGGGGCCAAGCGCACTGTATAAAAAGCCTGAGAACTTTGAGGAGCAATTTCAGGCACTCCAGACAGAAGGTTCTCCTACAGGACCGGCTCCCACCTCCCTCCTTGGCTCCACGTCAAATATATCAACTGAGGAGCCGCCCACTCTCCAAGCTACATCCCCCCGGCCTCGGGTCCGTGCCAGGCAAGAGGGGGACGTGATGCCCACCCTGGACATGACTCTCTTCGACTGGACAGATTACGAAGATCTCCGGCTAGATATGTGGCCCTCGTCCCAGAAGAAAGGTACTGCCGGCCTTGGTTGATGTGGCCAGAGGCACCTCATTCTAAAACAAACCCAGAGGGCGATGGATTTCCATTCTGTATGGCTAAATGTGGTGCCTTCCACGGAGACAGATCAAGATGGGTCGCCGTGTTAGTCTCTCTGTAGCAGTAGAAAAGAGCCAGGAGCACCTTTAAGACTAACAGGGGTCATTTCGTAGAAAAAGAGGTGCAGGAGCTCATTCGCATAACTCATTAGCATAACTTATTTGCATATGCCACACCCCCTGGCATCACCGGAAGTGTGTCAGAAGGCAACACCCACCGCTCAGGCTCCACTGGACTGTTTTGGATTGCTAGCTATTGGGGGGGGGGGACATGGAGATTGGCCCTCACAGAGGAGGGAGAGCTTGTACCTGAATAAAACTTGGTCTTAAAAGGTGCCACCACTAGGCTGTTTTGGATTGCTAGCTGTTGGGGGGGGGG